CCACCTGGGTTCTCCTGGTAGCCCAGTCACCTGAGCTCTAGGGCTTCGTCCTGCTAGTTTAACCCAGGGTGCTTCTTCCTTAACTGGTCAGGTCAGCTCCCTCGCCATCCTTTGCCTTTCTACCAGCGCAACAACCTTGTCGTAGGTGGAGGGTTCGTTCGGGCTTATCCAGGCGCGAAGGGCTGGCGGTAGTCCTCTCATGTACCGGTCGATGACCAGAACCTCTAGTATCTCCTCCGGACTCCGGTACTCAGTTCGTAACCACTTTCGTGTGAGATGGATGAGGTCATATAATTGGGACCGCGAGGTTTTGTTTTCCTGGTACCTCCACTCATGATATTGCTGGGCCTGCACTGCGGTCGTTACCCCAGATCTGGCTAGGATCTCTGCTTTCAGCTGGAGGTAGTTCGCTGCAGCCTCTTCAGGCAAATCATAGTAGGCCTTCTGGGCCTCCCCACACAGGAATGGAGCGAGGATGCCAGACCACTGTTCTAGCAGCCAAACCTCCTGCAGGGCTGTCCTCTCAAAGGCCAGGAGGTATGCCTCTACATTATTCTCCCGCGTCATTTTCTGCAGCCAATTGCTGGCCCGCATGATCTGCATCCCATGATGGCCGCAGTTCAGCTCTGTAAGGGCCTTTACCTGGTTTACCAGTTCTTGCAACATAGCCTGGTCTCGAGCAGCCTGGTCTATCAGCAGGCGATTAGTCTCTTGCTGCAGCTGCACTGCCGCCTGTTGGGTGGCTGACTGGACACAAGTAGCCTCCTGCTGGGCAGCCGTGGCTTGTATCAGTACCCGCACTACCTCCTCCGTTGTGGAGGAAAAAAATAAAAATAGATCCTCCCGCACCCCCCTTCTTCCAAACACCCTCCTTCTTCCGCCGCACTGTGGACACCAGATCCCACTTCCGACACCAGTTGTGACAAAGTTCCTGCTCTATCTTGGTGGGTCTTGCGCTTATTGGCGGATTCGCTCACCTTGGAGCTTCATGGCAGCCCTCGGCTTGGCCGTTTTTCTGAATTCACAGTCCAGGTCGACTCCTCCTGTGTCTGACCAGGAGTTGGGAGGATTTGGGGGGAATCCGGGCCTGCCCTCTACTCCGGGTTCCAGCCCAGGGCCCTGTGGAATGCAGCTGTTTAGAGTGCCTCCTGGAACAGCTGTGTGACAGCTACAACTCCCTGGGCTACTTCCCCATGGCCTCCTCCCAACACCTTCTTTATCCTCACCACAGGACCTTCCTCCTGGTGTCTGATAATGCTTGTACACCTCAGTCCTCCAACAGTCCGCATTCTCACTCTCAGCTCCTGGTGCCTCTTGCTCCCAGCTCCTCACATGCACACCACAAACTGAAATGAGCTCCTTTTGAAAACCCAGGTGCCCTGATTAGCCTGCCTTAATTGATTCTAGCAGCTTCTTGATTGGCTGCAGGTGTTCTAATTAGCCTGTCTTAATGGTCTCCAGAAGGTTCCTGATTGTTCTGGAACCAACCCTGTTACCTTACCCAGGGAAAAGGGACCTACTTAGCCTGGGGCTAATATATCTGCCTTCTATTACTCTCCTGTAGCCATCTGGCCTGACCCTGTCACACCAGGTAAGGACATAGGAGGTGCAAATGGGCTGGTACCACTGTCATGCACTTGGTGAACACTCTTGGAGCTGACGATAACCTGTAGGGAAGCACCGTAGACTGATATTGGTTGTTGCCTGCTATGACCTGATGTATTCCCACATGAAAGTACATGTCCTGCAAGGCAAGAACAACATACCAATTTCCAGGGAAAGGATAATGGAAGCAGGGGTGATCATATTGAGCTTGATTTTCTTGATGAATTGGTTCAGCTTTCTTAGATCTCGAATGGGATGCAGGTGATGTGTCTTTTTGGGAATCGGGAAAAACTGGGAATAAAAACCTTTCCCTCTGCGTTGGTAAGGAAATCTTCCTCTATCACTCCCAATTCCAAAAGAGATCATGCTTCCGAAGCAATATGGTCTTGTGAGATGGGTCCCTGAAAAGGGACAGGGAAGGTGGGTTGGCAAAGGGGAAGGAGGCAAATTGGATGACATATCCCTCCTTTACTGTGCTGAGCACCCATTTGTTCAATGTAATCTTTTTCCAACCATTGCAAAAGAGAGATAGTGCTTTCCAAAAGGAGGGAGATGAGATATGGTTGGCATGCTGTCCTTGATCAAATAGTCAGAATGACTGCTTGGAAGCTGAAGAAGTCTGACAAGAATGGATTGCTATGGATGATACTGTCTGGTGACATCTAGGAGGTCCAGGCCTTCTATTGAAGGTGTCCTGGAAGCTCTGCTGAGAAGAGGTTCTGTAGTACAACAGATTTAAATGGTTTCCTCTTTTTACTGGGATGGAGAACCTCCAGTGAATGAAGAGTCACACAGGAGTCTTTTAGAGTGGGAATGGCATCATCCATTTTCTGGGGAAATAGTTTGAACCCATTGAAGGATAAATCTTCCTTTGTAAAAATACACCTCTCTTAGGATGCCAGAGGCCTGCAGCCAAGAGGAATGTCTCATCGAGATGGCTGTAGCCATGGAGCATGAGGCAGTGTCAGCAGCATCAATGGCCACCTGAAGCAATGTTCAGGCAGTGAGGTGCCTTTCAGAGATTATGGCTGAGAATCTGTGGGACCATGCAAGTACCCATAGCAGTGCCACTGACTTGAAGGTATACATTGTCCCCAAATGTGAAATTGTGACTTTGTCCTCACCCATAACTATTTCACATTTGTATACCTTACATCATGTGCCAGCAATGCCCCTCTGCCATGTACATTGGCCAAACTGGACAGACTCTATGTAAAAGAATAAATGGACACAAATCAGACGTCAAGAATTATAACATTCAAAAACCAGTCGAAGAACATTTCAATCTCTCTGGTCACTCAATTACAGACCTAAAAGTCGCAATTCTTCAACAAAAAAACTTCAGAAACAAACTCCAACGAGAGACTGCTGAATTGGAATTAATTTGCAAACTGGACACCATTAATTTAGGCTTGAATAAAGACTGGGAGTGGATGTGTCATTACACAAAGTAAAACTATTTCCCCATGTTTATTCCCCCCCCCCCCCCCCCACTGTTCCTCACATGTTCTTGTCAACTGCTGGAAATGGCCCACCTTGATTATCACTACAAAAAGTTTTTACTACCCCCCCGCCCCATCTCCTGCTGGTAATAGCTCACCTTACCTGATCACTCTCGTTACAGTGTGTATGGTAACACCCATTGTTTCATGTTCTCTGTATATATATATTTTCCACTGTATTTTCCACTGCATGCATCCATTGAAGTGAGCTGTAGCTCAAGAAAGCTTATGCTCAAATAAATTTGTTAGTCTCTAAGGTGCCACAAGTACTCCTTTTCTTTTTGCGGATACAGACTAACATGGCTGCTACTCTGAAACCTGCCATAATTCTCAGTGTATTCTAAGCTTTCAAACTATCCCTGCCCTGCAGCATCATGCATATCTCAGTTTACTGCTTTATCTGTTCTATGGGTAGAGTCACAGCCTCGTGGAGTTTGAGATTTTGAAAGTGTTTCATACTATTATGGGGTTCATAACCCTCTCTTCCCTGCAATTTATATCCCTTTTTCAAAGGGACATTCAATTTTTTATAGATTTACTCCTGACTAAATTAAATCTTGAGCTATACATGAAAGACTGAAGAAAACATTGAAAAGAGGCTGATACAAGCATATATCTTATGGATAAGGCTATGATTTAGTCATGAGTATTTTAGTAAAAAAGTCATGGACAGGTCAGGGGCAATAAACAAAAGTTCACAACCCCTGACCTGTCTATGACTGTACTATAAATACCCCTGACTAAAACTTACCTGGGGGGCTGCTACTCTGCGGGGGAGGCACTGCTCAGGGGGGTCCAGTGGGCTCAGGGCCAGAGGCAACAGCTTCCAGGGGCCGCTGAGCAGTGGCTACTCTGGCTACCCCTGGGGCCATCCCCCTGCTGCTGCTCCGGTTGCCCCTGGGACCATTGCCGCCAAGCTGCGGCTGCTCCCGTCTTGAGGACTGCTGCTCAGGCGGTCCCTGGGGCCAGCTGCTCAGGGCCGCCCGAACAGTGGCCAGTGTGGCTGACCTCGGGGCTGCCCAAGCAGCTGGCTTCAGAGCTGCTCCAGCAGTGGCAGGTGTGGCTGTCCCTGGGGCTGCCTGAATAGCTGTCCCTGGGGCCTGCTGCTTGGGTGGCCCTGGGTTGAGCCACACTGGCTGCTGCAGAAGTCACAGAGGTCATGGAAAGTCACAGAATCAGTGACTTCCGTGACCTCCATGACAGACATGTAGCCCTACTTATGGATTTATTTTTTCTTTTGAATTTTAGTTCTCACCCTTTTTTCCTTATTTCACATTCTCTCTGAACTTTTTTTGTGCGTCATTTTTCACAGTCACCATGTAATTGTTCCCCTCCTCCATATCTCTGCTTTCCTTCTTCCAAAGCCTTTGATTTCCCATAACCCCTAGACTCTCTTAAGGAAGCTTTGGGAAATCATCATAACAGAGTATCTGCCTGGGAACAAAGTCTACTTGCCCAATCCTTACTATGGGAAAGGGAATCACAAGACTATTTAACTCACCTGTCCAAACAAACAAAAAAACCACCAAATCTGCCAAGACAAAACAGAAACTCCTGTGAAGTTTACAGAGACACTGAACAACATGCTAGAAGTGAATACAAGACTGACTTTATATCCTGCTCCCACAGGCTTATACCTCCCTGCTGTATTCCCCCTCATGCTCTATCTTCTCACAAGTAACACCACAAAAAATTCCTAATCCCTTGCTTTCAAGCCACAAAGCAACCTGTTGGAGGGCTGTCCTAAGTGAAATGCCAACACAGTAATGTTAGAGTCAAGCTTTGGAATGCAGAGCACGTGAGCAGGTTTGAAATTGGACAAAACAATCTGGCCTCAGTGTAGCATTCACATTTTTTTTTTCTCTCTTTCTTTCTTCAAGAGGTACGTCTTACCTTTGCTTCCATATTGCTCTGGGGGCAGATCATAAGGCACAGGAAAAGAGGTCACTGGCTCATTACTTCCTGAAAACATTTTCTTCTTCACATGGAAGTAACCTGTATCCAATCCCTGTGAAAAATACACAGAAGGAAATGATTGACTTATTAGTTTTATGAAAGTAAAACGTTCACCTTATCACAGCGTGGATTTTCCTCACCATCAAAGAGAGTAGCTAAAACACAAAGTTTTCCTTCTCTTTCTGGGGTATAAACAGTGTACCAAAGCCTGCTCCTATCGTGAGAGCCCAGTCTCCCTTCCCTGCTCCAGTCCTTTCTTCCTCTTGATATTCCACATGCAGGGCCAAGATGGTGGTTAAGTCCTATCTGCACCCACCCTCCTTGTCACGTAAGCTTTTACTAATCTAATTCTATACTCAAGCAGGGAAAACAAGGCTTTGGGAGTGGTCTTTATCTGGGAAACCCCATACAAACTTCCTGAGAATCTTGTAGGACCCAAATATCCAGTCACAGCCTGAAGAGATGGTTTTGCATGTAAACCGAGTCATGGTCACATGACATGGAAGTTTTAGGATTAAAAATTTAACGTGGAGAAAATACTTCTCCCTTCGTTCCTCTGCTTAATTTTATCACAAACTTATTATCTAGATGACAGAAGTGTATGTTATTCAGTATGCAGTTAAAATCCAAATAAAAACACTACATCTGTAATGAGGATACAAACATCTCTTCAAAGACAAATCTCCCAGGGACTTTTGGATAACGTAGCACTGTTATGCTGTGAAGTTTACTGCAGCTTTGAAAACTCTGGTATGAAAAAAAGAAACCTCTGAAGTGTATTACAAAGTTTGGCAACAGGCATCACTATACAGAATGGAACCTTAGAGGTTAGCAATTTGAAACACCCCCCCCGATATCCGTGTATGCAGTACAAGGAAGACAAGGTGGTCTTGAAGTGTTTCAGACAGATTTGGCAGATGCTATTAGGTTAGCTATCAGGTCAATAGGATTCCATTATCAGACTTTTGTAACGAATTACTCAAAACCAACCCTTTTAGAAATTGAGACTCCTTTGGGTTGCGTGTGAAAATAGCATCAGTCTATTTTTTTAAATGAAACAAATCTAAAATAAATAAATAAATATTTGAAAAAAAAAAAAACAGAATATTCTCTTCCAAAAGTATTCTTAAGACTGGGAATAAACTTCCATCCTTTTAATATACACAGCCCTCTACAAACACCGTCTTAGCTGTGCTGTTTCTTAGTCTTTGACATCTGGCGTTATCTGAATTTTGCTAGATTCCTGGATTATTGTTTCTGTAACAATACAAGCACAGTGTCAAATAGCCCTTCAGCTAAACCTTTGTTTATGGCATAATTAACTGAAATTGTTGGTTGAAATGACAGTAGCATTTATGTACAGTAATCCTCAACTACTTCATGTTGTTCTCTACTAAATTTTTACTTGATCAAAATGTTGCTGTTTTGAAAAGCAAATGGTATGTTGAATAGCTAGTGAGGTGACACCCATGCATTGTATTGTAACAAGGAAGACTGATGTAGAAAAGTGGTCTTTGATGTTTTTTCTTGATATTCTGGAAACTCTGAAAGTATTCACGACACTTCATTTCAGTTAGTAGTAGAGGGAAGGAAAGAAAGTTACACTAGGGTGGCTCCTGCTGGCCAGTCCATGAAATAACGTAGAACTTAATTCGGAGGAAGAGATCCATTTTCTCCCATGACTGGAAGTAATGAGCATCCATGAGCTATGGAGATGGATGGCAAGAAGATAGGAGATGGTGCCTAAGTGATAATGGACACTTATCTAATAAAGGAGGAGAGAACAAGGCCCTTGGGGCAGATGGGCAGCTTTGATTTAAAAGGAAAACTTTGATTTCAAACCAAAAGGTGTCAGTCTTGGAAAGCCAACTTGGAAAGTTTGTCCAATAGATATGCTTACATGAACCAATGTCTATGTCAAATGTACCCCAGAGGGCTAGGGCATTTCCCGCAAGCAATGTATATTGTTGTAACCGGGCAAGGGCCACTAAAGTTAAGGAAGTGAGTGAGTAAGCTGAGATGTGCAAGTTGGAATGTAGGAATGCTGACTGGAAGAAGTTTCAGTTACAAAGTTATATAAATGACTAGGCGAACATAAGGGAGAGAAGACCATCTATAGACTCATCAAGGTAAGAGAGAAAATGATGAGGGATGTGAATGAGTTTGCTAACATTAGAAATGAACATGGTGCAATCAATCAACACAGTTTGGAGTGACTATTTAGAAGAGCGATGAATGAGGAGAATCCAAGGGAGGAATTAAAAATGTAAGCTGAACCAGGGCATGATATATTGCATACAGGAAGAAGGCACTTAGGAAAAATGAAAATGGAGAAAGTACCTGAGCCAGATGAAGTACCAGTGGTTATGGTGAAGTAATTGGGAAGGAAAGGCATCAAGTATCTTACAAGTCTGTACAATGGTATTCTCAAGAAAGGAAAAAATGCCAGTCTTGTGGAGCCTATTTTTAAACACAAAGGAGATACTACACTGTGTGCTAATTATTGTCCAATTAAGCAGACATCACATGCTATGAAAGTACAGAAAAAGATTACTGAAAAGTGTCTGCATAGCATGGTTGAAACTTGGAAGGGTTACTACAGCTTCATGCCAGGAAGGAGTATAATTGATGTCAGATTTGCTCTACAAATTCTCATGGAGAAGTTCAGAGAACATGGACAGCAACTGGGTACAGTCTTTGTGGACCTGAAGGTGTACAAGAGTGTACCCTGAGAACTAGTTTGGTGGAGCTTTAGACAGATAAGTGTGCCAAAATGTCCAGTGAACGTTGGCCTGCATCAGGAATCAACATTGAGCCCCTTTTTGTTTGCTGTTAAGGATATAAGTGAGAGTACAGAATGAGAGCTGCTTTGAAACATGCTGTTTGCTGATGACTTAGTGATGTGTGGAAGACTGAGACACCCTATGAACTAAGCCAACTATGAGCAGTGGCAACCTGGTTTTGAATGTGCTGCATTAAGAGTGAATGTTGGTAAGACAGAAGCCATGATTAGTGAGGGAGGGGGTTTCACCATAAAGGCTATCACAGGCAAAGAGCTTAGAAGAGTGAAAGAATTAAAATACCTAGGTTCAATGGTTGCTGACAGTGGCGCCATCTTGAGTGATGCCTAGCATCATACTAACGCTGTTTGGTGCAAATGGTGGGACCCCAGTTCTCAGTGACAAAAAATGCCAATAAAATTAAAATGTAGAGTGCATAAAACTGTAATTTGACCCTACCTAACGTATGGAACAGAGACTTTGCCAGCCACAAGAAAGGAAATCAGGGTGCTCTCCATCACGGAAATGAAGATATTGAGATGGCCAAATCATTGCACATTCCATGATAGGAAATGAAATCAGATTGGAAGAGGACTAGTATGGATTGCTCCAACTGAAGACAAGTTGAGGGAGGCTCGGCTACATTGGTATGGGCATATTCAGGGAAGACCAGAGAGAGTTATACTGGTAGGATGATTCTTGCAATGATTGTGGATGGAAGATGATTAAGGGGGAGACTAGCCTCAGTACATTGACTAAATATCAGCATTCCTTAGAGATCAATCTGCATGACAGCCTGGTGTATGATCATGAGTTTTGGAAAAAGGCTACAAAAGTCAATGACCCTGAACAGGGAAGTGGCAAGAAAGAAGAGGAGAAAAGAACAGGGGCCATGCTGGAGGATAATGGATATTAAAATACATTTTAAGGGCCAACTCCAGGTATCTGTAAATTCACTGGGAGTTTTACCAATAAATTCAGTGAGATCAAAGCTTTGGTCCCAAGTTTATACTACCCTAAATGCACAGGATGAAATAACAAACTTCAAATTTAGAACAGAACAATTTATGGACACATAGGAATATAGGAAAACTGGGGTATATGTGTGGGTGTGAAGTTGGATTACAGAGTAAAAAAATGTCAACTACCTATTGTATTAATTAGGCATCATGACAATAGGTCTTGACAGTTTTGACCTCCAGGGATCTTATAGCTACTAGGGTTTAAGAAAAATTAATTTATAAAAACAAATAACTAAGAGATTCATATTCGGTCTGGATTGAAAAGGTAACTCATGCAATTTCCTTAGGATGTTCTAGCTCATAAAAAGTGGAAAGCATACAAATCTGACTTGATCTACTGATGGGTCCCCCCCACAAATAGATCTCTTTCTCAGTCCTACTGTCAATTCTGGAGCTGAGCTTTTTAGGTTTTTCAGCTTCCTCTTCCAGCATCATGATAGTGAACTCAGCAGACCAGTAATCTGACCAGGTATAGCAAATACTGTGTTCTTATATCCTCATATATGCAACCTCTGAATACAATGACAACTACATGGTTTAAAATTTGGAAAAGTAATTGTCATTGTGGTTATATGCCCAGCAATCTGAATAAATTTGATTCAAGTCTTGGCTGAACACTTTTCTTGATATCACCTCTCTTCAATCCCAGAGCCCAGAGCAATGGGATGCTTTCCAGAGAAACAAGAGAACACAAGAATGTGTACTGTAGAAATACAGCATTTATTGACAGTCTTTTTTGTCGTCCATATTTCATCCTTTTATTTCCAACCTTTTTTTCACACCTTTTCTGTTGTCTCCCTGTCTCTCTCCTTTTGTATTTAATAAATTAACTTTCTTTTAAAGATAAGATAGAGAAGCATTTCCCTTCGGTTTTATGCTCTCTTCTTCTTTCATCTTGTCTGTGTTGTCTTTCCCTGCTCCTTCTCTTTTACCTTACACTCACTGCTAGCTCAGTTCATTCTTTCCTTGATTTTTCTAGGAAAGGAAGGGAAGTCACACTCCTGGATTTTTCCTTTCCTTTTATAGTCTCTCCTTCCTCCCCCCCGCCGCCCCCTTCCTGTCAGTATGGCTCAATTACATGATTTCAGAATTACTTTGCTCAAAGAGCACTCAACCAATAGGCATTTTAAGCCTTGACAATATTAACTGGCAGTCTCTAACGACAGACATTTTAAACTTTTTTTCACAAAGCATGCTGGAATAAGATACAGAGGGTACATGTTGTAACCTAGACTAACAGACATCCAGAT